TCATAATGCTTAATTCTTATATGTATTTGTTTATCTTATATTTTGTAAGTTTATATATGTAAGTAAGCGTGATTATAATAGGACATGATCGCATCTATAATAAAGTATTAAAAAAAAAAAAAAATGAGTTGTGATATTGCGATTCACATTTTTATATTAAATCATATAAAAAGGTGAATTGCAATACCGCAACTCACTTTTTTTATATAAAATCAATATAAAAAAGTGAATCGCGATACCGCAACTCACTTTTTTTATATAAAATCAATATAAAAAAGTGAATCGCGATACCGCAACTCACTTTTTTTATATAAAATAAATATAAAAAAGTGAATTGTGATACTGCAACTCACTTTTTTTTATATTTAGTTATTACTAAATTCATAAAATCTATAAATAACTTAATCAGGACCAGGTTCAGAAACCAGGTCCAGGACTGGTCCTAACAGGACCTGGTCCGCAGGTCCGTTCAATAGGACTTATAGGTCCCAGGACCAGGACCAGACTAGAACCAACCTAACCATCCCTAATAATTATAATATAAAAATTTTGATTTTAAGACAAAAAAGTTTTCCATTTTGAAATTAATATTTTTAAATTATAATTATATTTTTTTTATCTAAAAATACAATAAAATTTACTGTTTCATAAGTTTTTGAAAAAAATCATTTTTTTTATTTTATTTTTTTATTTAAACTGTTTACAGTAATTCAAAAATAGCAATAAACTCTTTATGATAATTTAAAAATAACAATAACATTTTTATAGTTTTAAAAATTTTTAAGTAATATATAAATAGGTCATAAAAAATTAGCAAAATTTTACTATTAGTTTTACGTATTTTTTCAAAACCTAATGTATAAAGTAGGTAAAACTTTATAATAAATGTAAAATTTAGTAAAATTATATTAAAAATTATATATAATTATGAAATTATAATAAATTCTTATAAAAAAACAGTTATATTAGAGTTGTTGCTCTCAAAAAGAACTTTAAAAATGTTTTGATTTGACGAAAAAGCCATGTTTCTTCAAAAATAGTACTAATAATTTAGTGAAAAAAAATGGTTCATGTGATCAGCAGAAAGAGTTTTTTCCCTGTCAATAATATATTGAATTAATATGGTTTAATATTTTTTTTATTAATATTAATAATTAATTTTTTTTGCAAATGGTTTTTTTTTAATTTTATACCTTTTTTTTTTTAATATTACTAGTATTCACCTGTTGTCTATGATAACGATTAATATGTATTAATAAAATGGCATAATTCCGGCCAGAATTAAAAGATCTGTAAATAATTTCCTTTTTTGGAAATTCGCATAACTGTCAATTTCCTTTTATGGAATTCTGTATAACCCAAAATTTCAGTTTTTCGCCAGAAATAAAATTTCCTTTTTTGGTCTTGTGTAATATTGGCAATGAAAGTAGGGTTACACACTTTAAATGACTTATTTATATGGTTAATCTAAACATAACATCCATGTGATTGCAGTATTTTTTAATATATAATAATATTAACAGAAAAATTTTGATAATTGCATTCTATTGGATGGATATCGTTTATGATAATTTGTTTGTATAGTATATAAACTTAATATTAATAAAGTACACTGGCTACTTGAACAAAAGTAGCGGAAATTAACATTTTATTAATTACTTTAAAATTTATATAATAATAATATCCGAAATTTTAATATGTAATAATGTAAACAATACAGAATATATATTTAAAATTTTATTGTTCAACTATATTAATTAAAGAAAACTCAGAAAAAAATTTTAACAATTATCTATATATTATATAATAAAAATAAACAAATAGTCTGATACTGCCAGTTTATTTGGAATTATATATAATAATTAAGGTTGCTTGCC